TAATGGAAGTTCCATGTCTGTAAGATAAACTTTGTATGTGATCTAAAAAAAAATATATTCTATATGTCGTTGTAGAACAATATCGTGAAGTTTGGTAAGAAATTCGTGATTTGTATTCAATTTTTAATAGAAGAATTGAAGATTGACATTTAGTCTATCTCAATAAATAAGATGTAAGTTAAAACTGTAAAATTTAGTGTTGAAAAAATAGCTATGGTAATCAAGAAGAGTAGATAGACACCTGATTTTCTTTTTGTTGAGCACCTGCAAGCAAAGATATGTAAATATTTTATGTGAGGAGTGATTTAAGGTAAAATTTGAAAACATGAGAAGTTATTTAAATTAGAGGATATGTACTTCCTATATTTTTCCTTTTCTCTAGATTTGACAAGAGGTTCACGGGCTGTAGAAATGGACAATATGTTACCAAAAAAGCTCGATCTTACTCTTCCCAAAAATAAAAGTGAGGAGAAAGAAATTATTGAAATATCACGTGAGTGACTATTTTATCTTAACATGTTTCACACATTATTTGATTGCAATCAAAAGGTGACGATTGGAAATGTAATTAATATGTAATATGTCTATTATTTATCTACATTTCTACTCATTGGATTTATATAATATTTGTATAAATAAAAAAAATGATTTATATTTTATGTATTTATTTTAGGAATCACATCTATTAAAAAAATTAAGTTGATTAAATGAAATTAAATTTTGATGATGAGAGTCGGTAAAGAAAAAAGGGGGGGCAAAATGAAATTTGTTAATTATGGAGGCAGTTTGAGCCTCCGTAATTACGGAGGCTTTAGCCTTTGAGCATCCGTAATTATGGAGGCATTATCCCCCCCCCCCCTCTCTTTTTCTCTTAACTGTTATTATAACAAATACTTCAATATTATTTTTTTATTTTGTCCAACGTAATTTTATTATTTTATATGGAGTTATATTTTAGTTTAAACATAAGTTTCTTATTTTGTATGGAATTTAACTAATAGTCGGACTTTCTTAACGTTATTTTTTAAATTTTGTAATTTCTATTTATGTGATGATAAAAATTTATAATATATAATATAGAAATAGAAAAATGAATAAGTATATTTAGTTTTTTTTTTCTTCCAACTATAATACTTAAGTGAGTATAATTTATTCATTTCCCTGTCCATGTCATTTTCATTTTACCTTTTGAGCAAAAACGTCGTTGTTTTCGTTTCGTTCGTACAAGTACATTGTCTTTGTCCTTATTTTCATCGTACCTTTCCCATCCCTCCATCCTTTTGTTTTCTCCCTATCTTCAATTGCGTGTATATTTTGTTCAACGACATTTTATTCAACGATGGACTTCTTGTTGTTGGTGGGTTTTTTTTCGATATATTTCCTATTGTTCGGGTCATGGAAATGTATGCATTTTTTTGGCTTCTTTTATATGAGGATATTCTTTTCAATGTGCAAACTCTTAGTTATGTTTCCAATTTTATTGAGTTGATTTTTGTGGTTTCTTTCTTTCAGCAATACAATGAGTAAGTAATATTTGATACCTACATCTGTACAACTTCAAGTTCTTGAATCTATATTTAATAAAGAGAATAAAACCCCAAAAAAGTCAAGGATCATGCAGATAGTCTCTGAAATATCGTTGTATGGGCAAATCTCTGATATGAATGTTTATAATTGGTTTAAGAGTAGACGTGCTCGTTTAAAAAGGCTGAACCTATCCACACAAGCACACGATTCTGAACTTGTAATTTAGTCAAGGGTACAAAAAGACAAATTGTGTAATAGACATATAGGTACGATTTGTTGTTTAAATGTGATTTCTTGTTGGTTTAATGTTTTTTTACGTAATTTTAACATAAATATTTGGTATTATAGAAGTATCTACAAGTTCTACACATATGCTAAGAAGAAGGATAAGATGTTATCCTAAATTCACAGCAGGTTTCGTAGATTGAATATATATATATATATATATATATATATATA